AGAATGCCAAAGTTCAAGTAGATGTCATTAGCTATAACACAACCGTCAGTGTTTGTGAGAAGGCTGGGCAATGGCAGGAAGCAAAGATGTTGTTTGAAAACATGCTCGATGCCAAAGTCAAACCAGACGTTATCACCTACAGTGCGACCATGAGTGCCTTGGAGAAGGGCGAGCAATGGCAAGAAGCGTTGACCGTTTTTGAGACTATGCACAACGCTAATGCTCAACACGACCTCATTAGCTACAGTGCTGCCATAAGCGCTTGCGCACAGGGCGGGCAATGGCAGAAAGTATTGATGTTGTTTGATGCCATGTCCAAGGACAACGTTCAACCGGATGTCATTAGCTATAACGCCACTATCAGTGCCTATGAGAAAGGTGGGAACTGGCAGGATGTGTTGAGGTTGTTTGGATCCATGCCCGATGCCAAAGTTGAACCAGATGTCATCAGTTATAGTGCGACCATCAGTACATGCGAGAAGGGCGAGCAACCTCTGAGTCTTTTCCCCTCGCAAAGCTCCTTGATTTAGTCAGTCTCTTTCGTTTGCTCCAGGTGTTCGCGATCGACCGTCAGAATTGTGCGTTCCGAGCATCAGCGGACAGATCTACCAACAAATCCCAAATAGGGGTCTTTTCAAGTAAACAGATGATAGAATCTGAGAGAAGGGGGTCCATGAATCATGTCTTGCAGCACATTATACCCCTCAAAAAAAAGTATACGGGTCGGATATTTTGTGGACTTCCTTGATCATAGAGTGTCGTAGAGTCGTAGAGGTCTGTGACCACGATCATGGGGTCGGATATCAACTAATGATCCTTACAAAAGCACATAACTAGTTTTTTGGCGCGTGCAGAGAAGAGATGTGACTCGTTCTGCACTCCTTGACGATGTTCGACCCCTGCTGTTGGAAGGCTTGAAGAACAAATCAGTCCATTCTGCGGCTCCGATTGTTTTTTTGTGCGTTTCTATTCGCGATGGCCTCCAACCTACGAGCGATGGCCTCCAACCTAGTAGCGATGGCCTCCAACCTAGTAGCGATGGCCTTCTATAATATTATGTATGCAGCGCAGTGTTGCACATGAGGAGCCAGTGTCGGCTGCCAGAGTTGGAACCATGGGGCACCGATGCCTTTTTCACCATGCCGGGCTGCCCCATGAGAGTTGACCACAGGTTTTGTCCGGTTGTGTCCAGAATTTACTAATTATAAGAGATATTAAGAGTGTTTAACCGAATACCAAACAGCTGGTAAACTCCACTTCCATGATTCTTTCAAGAAGGACTATCTATGATAGGAGTGAAGATACACTCTATAGCTCCATGATTCTTTCACTCGGAGTGTATCGATAGGTGTACTGATAGGCGTATATCCTTTCACTCAGGTGACCTATCTTGCAGGTGACCTATCTTGGAGGATTCCTTTGGATGAGGGACCACACCGGTGACCGGTAACATCGGTCTCCCAGTTGTTGGACAAAACAGGGGGAGAGCCTGTAGGGGGGTTGCCGTGCTGGATTTTTGGTTTGGTGTTCAATTCTAAATTGATAGTGGTCCCCAAATAGATAGGGCACGGTTTCCAATGCATGTTTAGTGGGGATCTACTTTTCTATCTATTTGGGGTCTATAGCATAATGTAATCTGATGTCATTTGTGTTCCTGGTGCTGGTCCAGAGATGTTGTGGCGGTGTTTGTGAATCCGTTGATTTGGTGGCATCGATCACATTGATCGAATCAATCAACTTGAATCTTTCAACAAGACAGTCTACCCTATGTAGATCAAAGAAGTGTGTGATCTTTCCGCTATGTGTCCACCGTGTTCCACCAAGTCATCTCCAACGTCACCAGCGTTGCTTTCTATCACCGTCCTCAAACGTCAAGGCTGGAGGCATCTGGCGCTTGCGCCGGCGGCGGCGTGTGCAGCCTAGGGAGCCGCAGGTGTTAGGCCAGCTTCGTCCAGCTGAAGCAGAAGCGGGGTGGGGAACCAAACTCTGGATTCGCCATGATGTGACCAGAAACATCACTGAGAACCTACATGAGCCTAGTCTAGCAGTTTTGTCGCACGAGTTTTTTGGTATACTACCAATCATAGTTCGAGCCTCGCCAGCCAGAAGCTTGGGAGATGTTCCTTCTTCACACAGACATGTAGGACTACCATTGGAGCACTCCAATGGCCTTTCGGGACGTTCCCAAAACTTTGGGGCTGCCTGGGCCAACTTGGACTTGCCTTTTCATGAGTCTCGGTGGGTCTTCTTCGCCAGGGCGCTTGTTGGAAGAAGTGGAAGAGCAAGAGTCCGGGGAGCCCGCGTTTCGCTGATTTGGGGGGCTTGAGGGGCTTGAGGCCACTATGCGACACGTGGTGTGACAAAAACATATGGAAAATGTTGGGATCGTGTGGATAATGTAGAATATAGACTCTTGATGAAGTTGTTAAGAATAAACATTATCCCGGCAAGAGACCCCAGAGGTCTAGAAAGATGTAAAGGCCAAGATCGAGGTCTAGAGATCTATGGGTCTAGAAAAATCTAAACGCCCAGACATCCAGAGAGATCTAGAGGTCTAGAGGTCTAGCTCTGGAGATCTAGAGGCCTTAGCTCTTGAGGTCTTGGAGATCTAGAGGTCTAGAGTCTAGAGACAGATCTAGAGTTGCAGAGATGTAGAGGTCTCTAGATCTGGAACTCTAGACATCTGGGTTATAGGTAGAGGTCTAGAGATCTAGAGGTCCAGGGTAGCGGTCTTGAGATGCAGAGATGATCAAGAGGTGTAGAGTTGCAGGATGTGGAGGCCGAAACGAGAGGTCTCCACGTCTCGTTCGCTCTGGAGAGGTCTCTAGGTCCAGAGGTGTTGAGATAACCAGTCTAGGTCTAGAGCCTAGAAAACCTAGACGGTCTAGAGTTTGAGTCTAGATTTTGAGATCCAAAAAGCTCCAGAGGCCTAGACACCTAGAGGTCTTCTAGAGGTCTTCTAGAGGTCGAGATCTGGAGACCTACAATTCTAGAGTGAGGGAAAAGCAGGTCGAGGGGGGTCTAGAGCTTGAGAGGTCTGGAGGTCTTGAGGACCTCAGAGATCTAGAGGTCTAGATCTAGACCAAAATCTTCCCTTTCTCTCATCACTGAACATTGATTGGTTGCGCCTTTTGGTGAAAAACCATTCTGGTGAAAAGCCGCGAAGAATCAACTACGTGTTGTAATCTTTCGTGGGACAACTTCCTAGCGGGACCAGGAAGGGGCTGGGGAGCCACCTGGCTGCGGGACAGGAGAATGCGCGAGGTCAGCAGTTCCAAAGGAATCTTTGGTCCCACCCAGTGATTGGATGTGACCGGGGCGCCCCGACCCTCCGATAGGCACACATATGAAACTGCTGTATAAGTACGGCTGTATTGTTTACTCAGGGTTCCAGTGCGAGCTTGGAGGGTCAAGTAGAACTATGACAGTGTCCCAAGTCAGGGTTCGTGCGGGCACGGAATTGTGCATGTTCAGTTCATGATCAATTTGTTTCGCAGCTTTCGCATGCTTTCCCCACTGGTCTACAGTTGCTGCTGTCGTTTCTTCCATATAGATGGCTCATCCGTTCTGAGGCTGGTTCCAGCCAGTTCCAACGGATACGGCGGCTGAGAGACCGGTGCAGTGGCGGTCGCAAGAGTCGGCATCAAACCGGCACGAACGAAGAGTCGCGTTGCGCAGATGTGGGTGACACAAAAGTGACAAGGACGTTATGACCACAGAACTGCAGGCACCCTCTGAAGTCTCAGATTCATGATTTGCCAAATTTATCCAAATTTGTCAAAACATCCATGTTGGGAGATATGGCGACTGTTGCCAGCTTGCTACAACAAACCGACCAGCAGTTGTTCACCTATGGTCATTGCGTAGCCGCGTAGCCCTGTAGAAATGTACTCGTACTCATCGCCCTGAAGCCACTCCAACTGCCAATCGGGGTGAACATTCACATGAGTGAGGATCGGCCTGCATTCTTCTGGAAGAGGCATGAACATTCTGGAAAAGACACTCCCCCCAAGCAGCAATGGAAGATTCTATGTGCCTCTGACCCTAACGGCTTTGGGAGTCTATGATTTTGTGGGAGGAAATTGCATGTTTGGACCATGCTCCTTCCACATCCCAAGAACGACAGCAGATGACACCTCCCTGACCAACAGCTTGATCCCTTTTCGAGCGATCTCAATGTACCAATCTTCGGCGCCGTTTTGCGCTTGGTGTGTTGGCGCGATGATGGGTATCGACTCCAACATATTCCAACATGTTGTGAGTGATTTGGCGTGGCGTAGCAGTCGCAACAGATACACAGAGGCAGGGTACAGTCGCCTACCTCACTGCGTGCTTGGTACGTCCAAAAGATGCCAAGCACGGTGCGCTGAGCCAACAAAATGAGGCGGTTGGCCCAATGTTCACCAGTTCCGCTGCAATGGTGCTGTAGGACATGACTCAATCACCTCCATTGCACCCAACATATCAACAGACCAGACCCCCCCAGGTGAGCAATCCGGAGTGAAGGTCCAGTGAAGGGTACTGTCCAACGTCTTCCGGGCACCGTCCAAAGTCTTCCGGATCCGGCAGATTCGGCAGGATCCTCTCTTGAAACCCCCCCAGACTCATCGGCACTGGGGTGGATCATGATGGACCCAAGTTGGAAGTGTGATTTTTCTTCTGTACATAGCAGCATGGTCAGGGCAGCTTTCCAGTATAGTTCATTGTGAACCGGAAAAATAAGACGCAAAAAGGGCAATATGAAGTTTTCTGCTACAGAGTCAGTCACCGATCGATTCACTCAAAAAGCTCCATATCAATCTATGAGCTTTACCATCCCAGCGGTGATATCAATTGACCCTGGGGTTCCAACAACGTTTGATTGAAGGCGTGACCAAACAACCACAAACTGTTTCAGGAAAAGGTCTTAGATCACAACAACCCTTTCACAGCTATAGAAGACTCGTGTTTCCATGGGGCCATTGGTGCTGCTTTACACAAACCGGTGGGCAGCACAGCAGGTATTGTGTGGAGTGCCTCCACACTGAAGCCAATGTGGCCCACTTGTATTGCAGCTCGGCACATTTCGAGATTTTTCACCGAGATCTTCAGAGACAGCTTAACTTTTTGATTAGATCTCGCAACGGTCCAACTTAGAGATTAAAAGACAGTGTTTGTCTTTCGGCTGAAGCCTTGTGATGGACATGTCCATCAAGAGGAGACCCTAGAAAGGGCAGTGGGTATACCACAGAAAGAATATGAAAAAAGATGAAAAAATAATCAAGCACGGCAATTCATGTTCTGCATCTACTATTTGTCTCCAATTGCCATGTGTTCCTTCGCATCTGGTTGGACCAGACGGTTTGAACATCTCCAACTGTCACACCGGGTCCCCTCGGTGCGAAAGCGGTCACCCACGTCAAGGTCCGGAGTGTGGCGATAGCCTTTGTGCCTCGTTGAAGACGGGCCGTGGGGCCGTGGCACCGGACGGGCCGTGGCGAGCGCCCAGCGCTGGGCGCTGCTGCGGCGCGGGGGCACTGGGGAGTCTTGTTCGGCGAGTCCGCGTGGCCGTAGCATTTGGTGCCCAAATAGACCAACAAATATTATAGACTGAAGACTGGCAGGAAAGTCGAAAGATTGAACGGTTCAGAGTTTCTAGCAGGTGTTGTTGAGGGTGTTGCTGTTCCTTCTTGGAGAAATGTTTTCAAAGTGCGTTGCGTTGAGTGTCGAGCTCTTCATGTTTGGCAGTTTAACAGGTGTTCTCACGGCCAAAAATATCAATCACATGCTGAAGCGAGGACACATCTCTCATTCACAACATACCCATGTGGCCCAGCCTGACTTCTCAAACCAACCTCCACCGCACTGGGTGGTGGAAATGCCGGTTCTGGGAGCTAACCATTTGGGGGTCGCTACTAGTAGCTTCTTAGTTACTAGTAAGGACCTATTTCGGCCATGTTTTTCTGCTGTCGCCTCATGTTCCCAAGCTGCTGTTGCTGTTGGAGTTGTACCTTGAGGGGGGTTTGGGGGAACAGCTAGTTCAGCTAGCACTGCTGGGCCGGACACTTGTGGTTGGCTCAAGTTGAGGAGACTCTCCCACCAATTAGTGGCATGAGTCTTCATCTATGTTGTGAGAGGTTCAGGGGATGGTGGGAGCCCATGTTGAGATCTGCCAAGGCTTGAACTGCTTTGAGAAGCTCCATGCCAAGGGGCATCGTAGCTTGGCAGAATAAGCGATTGACCATGATTTGACCTAAGGAAATCGTCTTTGGACCGGCTGGAAAAATGATTGAAACAGATTGAAACCAGCAGGAACCCAGGTCTTCCCCATGCAGAACACCATCAAACATCCATAGTCTTCCCCTTCAATCACAGCTTTTCGGAAGGTCTTTGTTACTTGCATCCCACTCCTGACTCCCGATCCGTCCGACCACGAGGCGCAACCCACGAGCCGAACCACTTCATCCTTTGTGTCATGTGCAAGGCTGGACCTGAGGACCTGAGGTCCGACACCACGCGAAGGATGATGAAAAAAGGATGAGGATTGAGGATGAGGTTTGAAAGTTGTGTGTGTGTGTTTTTTCTTTCGTCATATTTTTCTCTGCATGTTTTAAATCTTGGAGTGGGTCAGTCGTGAGATGTGGAATGTGGATGAATGTGGAATGACCACAAGTATGACCACAATGAAGAAGTGTAGGACAGGGTGGAAAAGTGGAAAAGCGGCTTTCTACTTCCAGACCGCTTGACTCGTTTCTTATCACTGCCGCTTGCAGAGTCACTGATATGGGTGGAATTTGATCCAGAGGCGTTCCAGCTGCATATTACGAGAGTCTCTCACTTAACCTCAATGTGCGCGTATTCAGGTGGCGTTTCTTGTCCTTCCCGCCAAACAGAAGAGCCCCTTCCAGGAACTTCCAGGAGCATTTGATATGTCTTTTTCCACAATATGTTTTCTGAGTTTGGAAGAGCGTTAAGCCAAACAAATACCTTCGCCAGCTGCCCCTCCTCGTGCCAACAACCGTGCCAGTCCAGGTGATGCCAGCCAAATTGCAGTGCACCTACACGCGAGGGAAGTACTGCAGTGACTGCTATCACAGAAAACATGCAGGGATACTCAGAATCAATCCAACCTTGCCCCCAAGAAAAGCTTAATTGCAGGTTCCTTGAGAGCTTGCTGGATTCTTTACAAGGTCCTAGCTTCTGGGCCCCAAGTCTGGCGGGCAGCGTGGAGCAGGTTTGGGCAGCAGTGGGAAGTCTTGCCCTTTGCTTTCAGAGTCAACATCCATCAACATCCACATGTGAGTGACGCATACCGCATACACCCGCATACCCACTTGTCCTGTAATGTCCTGTATACTAGACCATTTACAGTAGTGTTTAAAGACCCCTTTCCACGTCGACTCATGAGCTGAGAGTGGTCATTCACTTCTCAAGGGCCTGGATGGGTTTAATCCCAAGACCCTCCATGAGTCCATCATCAGAATCGTCAGAAACACCCTTCTCGAACGGTGTTTTTCGTGTTCTTCAATCCCAAACAGTGGGTTTGCCATGCGTGCCAATGTTTTGCGTATATCAGCATTTTGCAAGAGGTCTCCCATACACCATACACGTATACATATATACATATGTAAGATCTTGTATAACACTACTTTATATCGATCTATCTAGATCTAGTCTTCTCAGCTTGGACCTGATGGCGCCGCGTCTGAAGAGCCTCCCATCTTCCATCCTTTTGGTCGCTGGCCTCGGAGAGACCGACGAGACCGAGGCGAAGACGCTGCCGAAGTTCTTAGACCTGAAACCGCTCAAGCCGCTCGAACCGAGCAGCGGGCGGAACCAGGAGCTGGGTGGAGCGTCTCGGTCTTCGGTGACGGTCCGGGTCTCTCCATGGTGGTTTGTATGATGGAATGGACCGGTGGAATCTGGTGGAATCCGGTGACCTTTGGAGATTGGAACGTCATGGACCACGTGAGACGTCACCAGCTGAAGCGTCAGGACCAGTGTGGAGACCCTCACGTAGAGACGTCACCACGTGAGTCACGGGACGAAGCGCAAGAGACAAGCGACGACCGCGAGCGATCAATGAATCCCCCCGTATGAAGAGGTCTTACAATCCAAGTCAAATGATCAGGGGGGGTTTATATATCAAGATTCTACATGACAGTCGCCCAGTGTTGCTCTTCCAAACAAACACCTGTTTGATCAAAGAAATACCGTATTCTGACAGGAATCCTATAGATATATGTCTGAAGAACGTGCCCGGTCAATGCAACACGCCCGGGCCGTCGGTCGCAGCGCACGCTCTGAGGATCGACTACAAACGCTCCGCCAAGTTGGAACGAGAAGAGAAAGCGCGGAAGGAAGGCGCGACGGAAGCGAAACGGCGCGCGCGGCAAGGGGGCGGGGGTGTGTCCCATCCAAGCATGGAAGCCGAAGGATGGATGTTCTGTATGGGGCGTGAAGAGCTGAATTAAATCTGAGTCTGAGTGAAATTTATTTGTTGCAAATGTGCCTGGAACGTGGCTGGGATAGATCAAAGAGGGCAGGGCCTTTTGTTTCTTGATCATGCATGTCGGATGGTGAATGATGTGATATTCAGGTTGTATGCTCTTGTGGTGTTCATAGAGAACATAAGTGAACATTTATGAACATTTAGGCTTTATAGCAGAGTTTTTCAATATTTGCATTTTTCGTGGCACTCATCATACATGCTACCCACTGGCTGCTTGTTGCAACGACCAACTCTTGTGCACCAAACACGCGACCACGTGGAGACGCACACGCCTGCCTGCCGAGGGAAGCAGGTGGAATCCACCTTCACGATTTTGGATCCAGAGGTACGGGGACTCTGCGAACCGTTTGCTTCGTTGGGACTAGCGATTCTGTCAGTAGCTACGTTCGTAGCGTCCGATCGCTCCGTTCGTAGCGATGCCCTGGCTCCTAGTTCGGATTTGTCTTCACAATTTCCTTCTGCAAACAAGTTGGAACTCGTTTCACGGCAGCGCTTGATGTGGTGGTCGACCCTAGGGTTTGGGCGATGTTTTTTCGTCACACTGAGGTTTGATTACCCAAAAGCAACATAGTGAGGGTTCATGTCAGGGGGCAGGTCAAGATTACACTGAAGCATTTGAAGCCCTGGCAAAGCCGCAAAAGAGTTCTTTTTTGTCCAAACCTGACGTCCCTGTAGAATCAGAAAGCAGCGTGCTGGCAAGCTGGAGTAGGCTTTTACATGCCTTTACATGCGCAAGCACCCTGGAGCCCTTACAACATCGCAGAATGATTTACAAGCTGTGTTGGTGTTCACCTCGCAACGGGTGTTTGGTTTGTTTTCCCATGTTTTCCTCTCCCACACCCCGCTTAAATTATATCTGAATTGTATAAATTATTGATCATGCCTGTGAAGACAGCTAGGCTGCTTAGACAAAACCTTTTTAGTGAAGCGGCAAAAAGTGCTGTGGGATTTACAAGTGCTTGCCAGGTGCCAAACCCAGGAACCTCCCCGCCTGGATGGAGGTCAAATCCAAGCCGCACCAAAAGTATTTGGTCCTGAGATTTAAGCATCCAAAGCTCATATTGTGTCACAATTCTCCCATTGAGATCCTTGTGCTATGTGAAACCACCTAATAGGTATTCCAAAAAATCCTCATAGACTATGCTCAGTACTATTCTCTTCCCGTGTCACACCACGGCGAACTGGACTGCGCCTCTTTTCCTCATCAACCATCGCCCTTGAATCGCCCCACAACTGCGCAGCCAAGGCCAAAGAGACCTTTTCCAAGGCAGCCCCGCTGGAAACGACCCTGGGAGAGAAGTGGCCCAGAACCTCAGAGCGAGCCGCGCTATGCGCCGCATGGACTGCGAGCGCCGCGGGATCTGCATAGTGCGCCCCGCCATGGGGCGCCGCCAGCGCTTGTTTTGGGTACTGTTGCTGTTGCTGCTGCTGCTGTTGTTGTTGTTGTTGTCGTTGATGATGTTTTGTGTTCGCCCGGTTTGACGCGCCTTTTGGTGAGATGGTATACGCTATAGAATGCTATAGAGGTACTGGGTGGTGTTACGCATCTTTCGGGTGCAGGCGTTAGCATCACCTCTGGGGCAGTCCAGGTGTGTCCCGAAGACCAGGATGGTGCGGGGGTAGTTAAGGCAGAAACAGATAGCAAGCTGGAGTTACAAGTGTAGTATGGTAGTGGTTCCATGTGGTTCCCAAATGGACTTATTCTATTTATTCTGGTGTTCACCGAATGCCTATAGACCTTAGCCCACATGGGCCATGGACCTCATCATTGCACCAGCAGATAGTTCCCATTTTGAGGTCGTCTGTCCTGCACCAACGCCAGAAAAAAAAAAAAGAACGCCACCAATGATTGGGTCCCAAACTTAATGGCATTTCATATATGGCCAAAGAAAGGGCACGTCTCGAGCCACACAAAACTGCCGGAGACCGTGCCTTCCGTGCTTTCATTCTTCACGTTTTTGAGGCATGCCTTTTACGACCTTCGGGGTGTGAAGTACTACTACAACTTCGAGACGCAGGACCGAAGACGACTGCACGGATCGGTCATGTGGTGGGATGACGATGCAAGAAGGATCTGGTGAATCTGGTGATCTGGTGCTTTCCAAATGGATTGCTTTTTTCAGCTCGGCCCAATTGTTGCCTACATGAAGGGCACACTCTTTTGGGGATTTAGGTGGACACGTTATATAATTAATGATGTTAATGTAGACCCTTGATTCTTGATGAATAAATTCCGACTTGGATTGAAGAACACCTCTAACCACTCGATGTTCAGCCCACGAACCCTGCTCTTAACCCAGCCACTTCTCATAGCAAGGACGCTATTAGGTGGAGGCCATCGCAAGTAAGTTGGAGGCCATCGCTACTAGGAGCAAGAAGTTACTAGTAGCTAGAAGCTTCCTTGGGAATCATTTCACTGGGAATCGTTTCACCATGTTTCACCTGTAGTAACAAGAAACTACTAGTATGTCTTTGAAGCTACTAGGAGCAAGAAGCTACGAACGGGGCTCCTGGCCTTACGAACCGAACGGAGCAAGTAGCTTATTGTTTCATATTGTTTCTAATAGCTTCTTGTTACTACTAGTAAGGCACTTGTTACTAGTAGCGATGCACTTGTTCCTAGTAGCGAACATTGTTTCTAATGGCTACTTTGCCCTGAGGAGTCGATGCGGAGGCCGCAGGATGATTTGGTCATTCAGGAGGACGGTGCCATCCCGACGGCGCGGTCCACGGCCATCCCGACGCCGCGGTCCTTAATGAAGAACAAGTGGTTCGAAGAACATGTGTGACCACGGTTCAGGTGGGCAGTGAGTGTGGGTTTTGGAGGTTGATTTCAGGTATGTTTTGAAGGTTTGGCTCGTGTGCATGGACACGTCATGCTTGCATGCTTGTGGGTTAGAGTGAACAAGTTTTTGGGACAGTTTGTAGGAACATATTTTGCCGTCAGATGACACATGATGGCATTATCTTGTTTTCGATTTATATATGTTTTTGTTGGGGACGCCGTGCTGGAATCAGGATGGGGGGTCCCTGAAGTTCGCTTTGTAGGGCAATCGGGCCCCAGCCAATGCTCCACAGATGACACGGGAAATCTCTCACTCCTACCAGCACCCACCCAATCTTTTTCGGGGATTGGTGTCCCCAGTAAAATCCAACCAGTTGAAAAAGCATGAAAAAGCTAGCTATATATTATATCCACAGAAACCGCTCGGGGTCAAGAGGGAAGACGGGAAGACTGTAAGTTTGAGGGACAGAGGAACTCTTAGACATGAACACATGTAACTCAACCAGCGGTAGTGTGTTAGAGATCTCATTGTCAAGAGTTCCATTTCAACAGGAGGTCGGCTGATTTATAGTCCATCGTGTTCACATCTGCAGACACTCAACGATGTTTCACCTCGAACTCCCACCATCTCCCCTTGCTGGCTGTGGCCAGGAGCCGGAGGATGCGGCGCTAGGCGCCCAGCGGAAAGAGATCCTCATGAAGATGGCCCTGTCCAAGGAACAGCTGCGAACCGTCGCACACGACCACGTCGCCGGCCGTTCCATGTCGTTGGCCGCCTGCGAAGCGACATCGAACATCACGACATCGAACAGCGACATGATGTCGCTTGTGCTGTTGATGGAGTGGTCCTAGCGTGGGTTGGGGGGTTGGGTTGGGTATGTTCGGGTGGTTGTGTTTGCTTCTTGGCCCTGTTGCTGGTGCCTCTGTGAGATTGACGAGTTTATGAACACTAGAGTGACACTGAAACAATAGATTATAACTATATAGGTTTATGAGTTGTTGAACAAGCTACCGGCAGATGTTTCACTTGTTAGACTTGTTTCAAGTCTTTCGGCTGTGACCTTTGCGATGTGCCGGTAGCTTGCTCAACAACTCATAAACCTATATATTTTTTATATAATCTATGTCGAAAACACACGGGTCAATAGTTGTTTGTTTTTGGAGGCATGTTGGTAACACACCTTAATGTGTCGTGCATGTTTGACGTTTTCGATGACGTTGGCCTTTGTCTTAGTGAGGGCGAAGTGAGCGTCTTTCTCGATTCTTGGCAATGAGCTTGTTCATGTCTTGGAGGTTGTTCAGTGTCTAATGACTGTTTCATGACAGAATGTTATGGCTGTGGGTCGTGGCAGACCTGGAGCCCCAGTCCATCGTCATGAGCTCTTTTGCGAACAACCGACACGTTGGGACACGACACAGTGCCCGAACCGTGCGAGCTCCCGCCAGATGTTCGCTTGAGAGATGGGCTGAGCCCAGTGCTTCCGACGACTCGGATGGCGTCGGTGAGTCCGACGCGGGTGCTTTGCCGGACATGGATCAGCTGGACTCAGATGGCACTCATGGACTCGTTCCTTCACGAGTTGAAGGGTCAAGCGTGAAGGGTCCAGTGGTCAGTCACCGACTTGTCGTCCCGGACAAGTCGCTGGAGAGTTCTGACCACAGCCTGACGTGTCGGTGGTTCGCTGTGGCCTCCAGGAGCCACGTCTCATGCCGCAGTGGGAGGAGGGCAAGGAGCGGGACCGCAGCAAAGGCGCGCGCGTTTTTTTTGACCGCCGAAGGTGGCGAACTGTTCTGAGTTTACTTGGGATGGTTTGGTTGTTCAAAGATCAGAACACAGAAGGAGAAGGTGTGGGGTCTCAGAAATCATTCTGAACATCCAGGGGGAAAAGAAACCGTTGAAAACAGTTGAACATGTTCAGGTTGGCCTGGAGATTGGGTCAATGGCCGGTGGAGAAGTCTTTGGTGGCGAAGCATACAATTCCTTCCTTTAGTGCGGTATATTTAATAGTTCAACATGTTTACGCTCAGACTCACTAGTCTTAAAATTGTCAGCCAAGGGTCCATTTTCCTAGTGAGTCGGAGCATTCAATTCGATGTTTTTGTTGCATGTTAGCTTCTTCACTGCCAAGTGAGGGAAGGTGCTATGGTTTTGTATGGTTTTGTGTTGATGACATCCCCATTCAGATACACCAATCCTGTTCCTTTTGGATTCAAAGCTGCTGGGTTGACACATCCCTGGCGGATTGACTTAGAACAAGCGCTTCGATCCAAAAAGATCAATGTCCTCCATGCAAGGACTGAGCCATGACTCGTGTGTCGTTGCGTCACTCTTCCCTTCAAGGACACTCAAGTCGCCCCAGTTCGAAAAAAATCTTAGCCAGCGATGTTGTCAGTCCATGTTGCAGGTATTTTAGAGGACTTCTGCCTCTTGGCTTTACTGCTCCGTGGGGTTTGCCGGACGGCAGCAGGGGCGGGTCAGGGGTGGGGACATGGGATCACATTGGGAACACAGCCCTGAAAGCATGACGTCTACAAGGAGGTGGACATAAAGCATTATTATCATGATAAAGCAAAATGAAAAAAGAACAAACATATAGCACATATTTCATCATATTTCTCACTCCTGGATTCGTCTAAATCATGGATTCTATAGGCAGATTCCAACGAGCCACGGTTTCCACCGTCTCTCCCTTACGGTTTGTCACGGTTTCCACCACGTCACGACGGTCGTTCTCTCCCGTGACCGTTGGGGCGGTCGTTCTGGGGCGCCGGGGCTGATGAAAGCCCTCCAAACCGTTGGAGGAACGAAGACGTTCCCCAGACATGTGAGATGAACAGATAACAGGAAACCTCCGGTTCGTTTCGGTTGGTTTCGGTTCGAAACTGGAAGGATGGGCGGTTCGGTTCGCAAATACAAACGGTTCGTTTCGGTTTTCGTGAGAATCGGTTCGGTTCGGTTCGGTTCGCTTCCTTCTTTTTAATATACAACAGAAGGCGGCATTTAAAGCAAAGGGTTTGGCAGATCACCGCACAGTCTCCCGAGTGACAGGACAAGGACAAAGGACAAGGACCAGGAAAGGAAAAGGAAAGGAAAAGGACAAGGAAAAGGAAAAGGAGAAGAATTGATCTTCATCCATGCACGCGGCAGGGTGGAATCGAGCTACCGCAATGATCTCACACCCATTGACGCAATAAACCTAATATGTTGCCTTCCCCCATTAGGCAGCTGGTGCACTGCACTGTGAGAAAGAAATGGCGCCATACTTAAATATTAATTACCTTTTGGTCGGCGCGCGGGTGTATGAGCGGCAGCGATGTTTGTGGGCACACATGCTCCGTGAGCTGCATCATAGTCGGTCGTTTCGCCCAACGCCATGAAGCCCCACATCATCAGTGAGGCGCGCGTGGGAAGTGGATGACGAAGCTAAACAGAAGCTAAACACACACAATAGTCGAAGCAGAATGCTCCAACCAACTATGGATTATATAGATAGCACTGCGGTTCGTAACGGTTCCTTGAGGCAAAAATAAACGGTTCGGTTCAGTTCGGTTCGGTTTGACAGAAACTGCTTTTCAGTCCGGTTCGGTTCGTGTCGGTTCCAATGAAGCTGGTACCTTTCCGATTCGGTTCGCGGCTCGCGGTTCGGTTCCTAGGGCTTACTGAGATAAGAGGAGGTAAATCCAGTTCTATTCATGGTGCGATTGGTAGTGGAGTTATCCAGGTGCCACTACCAGCAGGAAAACCAAAGGCTTCTGTGAAAGGTGGTCATGTCAAGCCACAGATTGCCTCACTGGCTGCCTTGTTCACTCCTTGAGAAGCTGAGGATGCCGTGTGCCGAGGATGTGGTGGTGTTTCACCCGGCTGTCGACATCCAAGATGCGACGGTCCCATCGAGTGCGCATGAAAGAAAAGTGCCAAAAGACATGCGTAAACAGTCGGTGAAAGATGGATGTCGGTGAAAACTCGAGGGAGACCCCTTTGGAGCCCTGATAGAAGGGAAAAATCAAGGGACAGACCATCGGCTCTGGGGTCTTCTCTTTTCGGGCAGAGGTGTGCGCATTTCTCATATTGATTCATTTGCCAAGATTTCTTGGACCAGCTCCTCTCCAGCATAAAACTGAAGTTCATAGTAAACATATGTAAGCATGAAATTGACATTGAAATTGTTTACTGTCTATTTTCATAGCTTGGATTGTGGTCCCTCTCTTATCTTCCTAAGTGGATAGAAACAGCATTAAAACAGTTGTCAATTTGGAGGGGAGTTCACGTTTCTATTTATGTGGGTCTCAGTAGAACCACTTATAATGCCAGCTGAATAGGAAAATCATGACACCAGCCCCCAAAGGCTTCCATGACGACTTGAAGATGGTCGTGTCTTTTTCACCATGAATCGAACATGTTTTCGCTCCTGTCCACGGAGTCGAACGAGGGTTGGAATGTAGCGAACAGGGGTGCCTGTTCTTGTCTTTGGAGGCGGAGAACTCATCCAGAATTTCGAACTCACCATGAATTGCTACAAATCTTTGAATCATCGACATCGACATCATCATCGTCGTCGTCGTCTTCATCATCGTCATCGCAATCATCAGCATCATCATGACCAGCCTTTGTATGCAATCCGCCGAACGTTGGACACCGACATTTGCGCGTGAGTTCCGCAGCCGCAGCCGTAGTGATGCGGCGGGTTGACCTTGCTCTCCACACGTGTGGGCGAGGCGGAAGGTCTGATGGGAGGGGAGGTGAAGAAGGGTGAAGAGGGTCTGTTGGGTTGGAATCCCAGAAATAGATAAATTATGATAAATTATGTTTGGATTGGGAAGACATGAAAGAAAGCCAGATGGGCTAGATTGGATGGTTTCTTTCCAAACGTTTGAACAGTGAGGCAGTTCTTTGTCTTCCTTGTGGTCATTGTGCTGTGTTGTCCCTGACCCCATGCCCTGTCGCTCTAATTGCCGCACGAGCTAAATTTGCAGAGGTATGGTTGTGCATGGTTGTGCATGTGCAATTGTCCAGCCATTTAGGTTCAACCTGGTGCAACACTGATGCAGGTTGTTGCATGTCAAAAAGAAAGTTGTTCAGGACGGTACAGGCGTTCAGAGCCACGCCGATAGGGAGAATGCAAACAAGAAAGTAATATATTAACAACAGTCATTGGAGAAAGTGCATTCTGTCAAGCAGCTGCATTGAACATGCTTGGTGACTGAGCTATGCCAAAAAACTTTCATAATCGGCTCCTGTACCACGCAAGTCGTTTTGAGCGTGGATCGGTGCAGAAGAATGTCTTGCTGCGCTACGCCCAGAGCCTCGAAAGCTCAACTCTGAGCGAGCTACAAAGGAATGCATTCCATGTTGCTGCTTGGGTTGCAGAGCTTTCAGCTGAGCAAGCGACCCTGGAATACAATGGCTTGTCGCCCCTGTTACTCTTGCAGCAGTACTTGAAGCATTTGAAGTCGCGAAAGCAAGAAGTTCAATGGTCAGATCATTTGCGACAGGTGCTCGCAAGAGTGTGGAAGCGGACCCAGGCCCAAGCTAATTCTGGTGAGTTGCAATGGCGAGGTGTATTGCACGATCTCCAGTTCCTTCTCCCAGAGGCTAAGGCTACAAAGGCAGCCACTTTGATGAATAAGGCCATAAATCTTTGGAGAAACACAACAATTGAGGCAGAGCAAGAGGAATACGTTGCTTCCTTGGAACAATCACTCTCTACAGCGGACCCCGATCACAAGTGTCAGATTCGTTCCATCTTCCGGCGCACTGTTGCAGCACTGTCTCCACCCCATCACATCAGTGAAAGGGGCGGTTCTAGCACAACAGATGTTTTCCCACAGCCCAAAGGGCGTAAGGGAGATCTGCAATTTCGGCTTCGGAAGATTGCTTTGATTTGTTTGGATCACTTGGACTTGACTGATTCCAGGCTTCACCCAGCATTGGAAGTTCTCAGGTCCCTCCTTGACAGGTTTCAGGAAGATGTCAAAGACCATCAGATTGGTTGCAAGCAGCAGTGGCGTTTGTTACAGGTGAAGTGTGGTCAAGCGACATCGGAGAGCAACTCCTTGGTCTCATTGAAGAAGCACAGCCAAAAGCGATCCTGGTGTGAGCACAACAAGAGACGAGACGATTGCCGAATTTGTAGCGGTTGTTTACATGGCAGGATGAACGGGCGATGTCGAATTTGCAATCCCTGTCCGCATGGCAAGATTAAGCGGAATTGTGCGGAGTGCGCTGGCTGCGAACACGGGCTAGCCAAGCGCACTTGCCGTCAGTGCAATTCGTGCATTCATGGCCGACGCAAATACAAGTGCACAATATGCAAAGATGAAAGAAGCAAAAAGAGTGTCTCTATAGTGTGGTGGATTTCGATGCACACTGGTGCAGAATCGGCCTGGCCACGGGGGAGCATAGGAGGGGTGGAGGCACCTTGTCTGAAACATTCCTCGGACGAAGCAACGCTTGACTAGTGAAGGATGTCCTTGAGTTGCTACTGAATACTGAAGCAAGAATGTTTGGAGTCCAGTGCCCCAGTATTTGTGGCTAAGACCTCTCATCATCTGTAGCACTTCTTGATTGAGTAAGCAAAGATGGACCTCCAGCATTTCGACCAAAACTCATTTAACCTCAACAACCGAAGGAGCATGAGATATCATGAGTGGGGTGAGATATCATGGTGGCCATCTCCTGCCATGGCACTTGATCTGAATCCCTTTGGACATGTTTGGACCACTTCGGCAACCACAACTTCAGAAATCGCATGCTCAAACCAAAAGCAAACTTGAGAGATAGGCCTTGTTGAGGCTGTTGCATCGACCAGACGGGCGCCTGCCATCGACGGAGACTGGAGCGCCATCGACGGGAACCTCCGAGGAACCTCCCATCCGTCGTTCGGGAAGCGCTTCCACCACACCCTCCCCATGTCTCCATGGAGCCATGGAGCCATGGATTCCGAACAGAGAGCTCCAATGCTTCATCTTTGTTCCGTTCGGGTCCGTCCGATCGTTCCGTTCGTAGCGATGCCCTTTGTTCCGCTTGGATTTGGTTCCAGAGCCCTTACTTCATGTTTCCTCAACACGAGGGGATGCCCCGGCGTTGCTTCACACACGGAAACGGCAAACAGCACGAGGCCGACTCGGGGTTTGTTCATCTAGAACGAATTCGTCTCACGGGTCGTCAGGTCTTCAGGTGCTCGATGTCCTCGTGTTGCACGGCCATATCCAATTGCGATGGCTTCGTACGATCCTCCCACCGCCATTGCCGGTGTGTTGTGTTGTCACCTGGGCGGTGGCGGTGGTCGGTACCAGGAAGTGGATGAATGAGCGAAGACACCTGGGGAGCGAGATTTGCTCGAAAGATCTCGAAATAGGTGTAGCTTGTTGGTGTTTTTTCGCGGCAAGCGTCCAATAAAAGATGGCTGGATTCTTGTAGTTTCCCACCAATGGGTAGAAAACAACATCCCCTTTTCAACTATGTGTTGATGTCTTGCCCCCACGTGTGTTATATTGTTTTATGGGGACATTGGAGCAGCATGCACGATGCTGTGGGTCCAACGTGCTGGGATTTCGTGCACGTTTCGCTGCTTCAGCTCCAGCTCCGCCCCGGCCAACACCCGTGGCCAGGACCCCGTTCGAACCGGGCCATACTGAGCTATACTTGATACTTGGGATGTACCAAAGACCCTGGGCCACTTCAAGTGGCATGTCATCCATGTCCGACGCAAGACCTGTGGAACTCCCACAACAATGTCCAAGCACTCCAGGCAGAGTAGCGGCCATGGTTCGGTGCTGTGTTTGTTCAACATGTCCCTACTGATATAGTAGCATCATCCAACATTCTAGTCTTCAGTAGTGATGGAGTACACAGCACCACAGCACACAAGAAAAGGACCAGACGTCCAACATTGTCGGGCAAATCTGTTATCCTATGATACATCCAGCTCATGCCATCCAATCAATGAGGTTTTGTGACCTGTAGGCAGCAGTGGCCCAAGCATTGGAGCATCCAAATAGAGTGCACTCAGAGCTGGACGAGAACATGTGTTTTGCACACCTTGATGCTATCGGAAGATCTGGAGATGGTTGGCGCATGTTGGCGCCCATTCTTTGCGTTTGCCCGGTTCTTTTGAGATGTTCACTCAGCCATGTTGAAGGAATAGACACGAAATGAAACATAGAAGATCGATTTCGGGACTCAGAAGCTGTGAGTGAGACCGCACATATTCCTTCACAGGTGTCAGATGAGTTCCCCTTAGGTTCGGTGCCCAGTGTGTCCAAGTGGTCTTGGTTTGGGTCCTTTGATTTGTGACCTGGAAACCATGATTGTTCAAATATGTGTTTCCATATTTTTCCCCTGAAGCCATAAAGCCAGATAACTACCTGATCTCAAGGGATTTTCAATCTGGGCAGATAATACCTGATCTGGATTTATTTGGTATAATAGTTTGTTCTTGTTTTGGATATGACTATGATTTCTCCAGATCTCAAGAGTTTGTCCATCATCGTTCTCACCAAAACTGGAAGGTCATCGTCAGTCTGCCTAGTGAGTTGCCATGGACCGGCATTTGATTGATTTACGCGAAGAGCGACTTGATTTGCTGCGCCACGTATATGCAGCTTGGTGGCACATGGCTACTAGTAACTACTAGGTGGAGGCCATCGCTACGAACGTAACAAGAAGCTACGAACGTAGCTACTAAGTAGCCTTACGCATAAGACCTTGTCTGGAGACCTCTCACGGTACACCACTTTCACCGCCATGCAGTGGACATCACGGTACATGGGTGGAGAGTCCGAGTGGGGTCTCTGGATTTGCACCCACAAGCCAAGCATTTGTCCAGTGACTGCTGTCGTTTGTCCAGTCGTTTGTCCTTTCTGTGAATGAAGAGTACTAGTTTCTACTGGCAGTTGAGCATACCTAGAAAATCCTCGTACACCTGCTTGCCACAGGCTTCGCTCTTCTTGTTTACACAGGGTGGCACCCTTTTCTTCTGGTTTCTCTCTCAAACTAATCTTTTGAGGCCTCAAATCGGCTTCGGCAGCTTGTTTTTTGTCTATAAGCTAGGCTGCCAAAAAGGCTCTTGGTCCTTGCCTTGGCAGCCCATCCATACGTAGGTCATCCGAGTAATCAGAGGAGTCCCGCAAGCTGCGCATCTCGTCTTCACCGTGTTTCGCTCTACCCAGCTCCAATCGTTGGATTCCATCGGCGGGTCTACGAGACAATGCCCACCCCACCCGGCAACGCGGCGGAGACGACTGCTGCGTAGGTCATTTGGTATTGGATCATCAGATCATGGGGGCAACACATTCCGAAATCAAGAAGTTTGAAGCTACTTACGGTATGGCCTCCATCATCCTACATCCATTTAGATTGGTCAATAGAGCTTTCGCACGGCTTTCCCCCATCTGATTGTGCCCAAGAAACCGCGCTGTCAGCCTCATCGGGGGTCATATTCCTGAACTGACCTGCTTTTGGTGAGACATTCTGTGTTGGTGTCCAAGTTCTAGTCAAATTACTCCAAGCTGTCTCCGGGTGCATCTTTTAGATCTTTTAGTCGGGAGATCCCCAACCAATGGGTTTTGCGGCTTTGCTTCTTGTCTCGTTTCGATCTGTTTGGACCTCCCCACCCAACCAATTGGTGTTGATCTATTTCCATTCTTCCACACATTCTTTGGGATGAGGTCTCCTATTTTAATACACATCCATCTCCACCCCATCTCTATACTTCTTCGACTTAACTTTGGTGCACGAGTCCCTGTTCACGAGTCGTTGATATAGACGGATTCAGGATGGCTTGCTTCAAGTGCACTTTCCAGTGCCGGGTGAATTGGATGCGTCTCGGCGTTTTTCGGTGTTCACATGTGGGTGAGCTCACGAAAGGATTCGGGTGTTGGAGTCGAGAGGCAGTTGTAGTTCCAGGTCGAGGCTATGTTTTTTGTTTAACGGACGCCACCCAGTTTTTTAGGGGGTCGAAGTCGATTAGCGTGAATCGAAGGAACATGGAGCTGGGGCAGGATCAATGTTGCTCTTGCAAACTAAATGCCTCCCACGTTTTTCTCAATGTTAGAGAAACTTTAGGGGATGATATGTTTGCTTGGTTGAAAGTCGTTCTTGGTGCTTCTCACCAGAATCGATCTCTTTTCAGTCCGGGATGGCAAGTTGCCACCTAGGGAATGTGAGTACATGGGACAGGTTTGCGCTGACCGCAATCCTATAGTGGTGCATTGGTCTTTGCGCCTAGCTGCTGCATGCCAAGGATTTTGAGACCATGATCTCCCAGCTGCAACAGCCTGTGGATGGATTGAACCCTGCCGCTTGACAAAGTGACAGCCTCTCTATATACATGGACGTGGGATGATTTATGTTGAAGTAGGGAGAATCCCCAAAAGACTTCCCAGAAAGAGGAAAAAGCAAAGCTGCTTGGTTGGGGGGGTCTCCCTTTTCAAAAGCCCAGCCAGCTGTCCCAACAATCACAACACCACCGCGCATCCCTCCCGGAAGAGAAGAGGAGCGTCCGTCCAGTGAATGTCACACATGGGGCACCTAGCCTTGGTGGTGAACAGATATCACACAATGGATCTCCAGCAAAGATCAGCAAAATCCCCATGTTTGGTTGGGAAAAAACACGAGTTTGGAGGCTTGCAGGGCTTGGTGGATTGAAGGGCTGGAGGTTGGCGGCTTTTGAACCCGTAGCCTGTCACCCAGTCTAGAGCCCTTCATTAATGCATGCAGTCGAGGTTTCTTGAAAGATCGGGTACACACCCTGTGCATGGTTGTCGGAACTCCAAAGAAGCGACTCCAACTTCCAGGCATCTTTGGGGCTCTCATCCATTGGGTCAACGACGATCGGCGCTCGCAGAAGCGGACGATTGCGAGGAGCTCCACGTGCTGGTGCTGATGACTGGGGATGAGCCCATGGGCTGCGCCTGCTATGAGTGAGCCGACACCCGGAACCCGACACCATCCGCAGTTCCAGCCGGGCTGGGGAGGCTATAGGGCAGGTTACTGTAATCCGATACCGAAACGGGGTGGTTCAGGCCTCAAAAACTCTTCCCATTGGAGAACGGCCCGGGATTTTTGGGAAGTATGAACCTTGTTCTTGCGGTTCTTGGGTATAGCTCAGAAGGCCCTAAGAACCTAAAGGCGATGTTGGAGGGGCGCTTCATGTTCGGTTCATGTTCTATGTTTCGGGTCGGTTTAGAGAATTTGAATCTCCGAAGTCCCAGATGGTTTGTTGGTGACGCTTGTTCATTCAAGTTTCCGGTTCAATTCATGTGGATGTTGATGGAGAAGCGGATGGGACTAAATTGACTAAATCTGCAGGTGTATTGGCGGTTCAACCGCAGAGCTATACAGAGAATTACGGAGAGATCCTTGCCTATCATAGGAAAAGTCCTGGGTATCAACGAACTTAGCCGTCGGCAGCAAGGGGGATCTGAACATGTAACATGTTGCGTGGCTCCAAGGGGTGAGGCCTGAGAGCCTGACTTCAGGTACTATCCCAGAGGTAACCACTGCCTCATCAGCTCTTCAACTGCAAGGATGAGACGGATTCCCCAGAGTCTGACCAACTGGGCCTGATCTTTTTTGACGTGGGACGTACATCGAGGTGTTCGCAGATGTGTTTTTTTTCCTGCGAATCTCGCGGCCGAAGTCGACGATGTATCTTCATGTCTCTTCCAAATCCAAGGTTTTGGGCTGCTTGCTCGGCCAAAAGCATCATCCTTACCGTAGCTAACAACATCAATTAGATTATCATTTTAGCGAGACAGACTCTAGATTCTAGATGGAGACGGTACTGAAATCTTATGAAGTGATTGAAATGCACACACGAAAAAAGGAAGATCCTCCTTCCTGCTTCCAGGGCGCGGTTTGTACATCTGAATCGTTCCCACCAGCTTTCTTCACGATCTTTGTTCCAAGTGACCTCAATACCAATCCGCATTAAGTGTGGTCACTTAGTTTCAGAAGCTAGTCGTCACGAGAATCAAACGCCGTCAGTGAACTCACGGTTTCAGCAAAGGGGGAGGCGCACTCCCGAGAACGCAGCATTTCCCCCTTAGGTTAGGTCCAAATCCATCCAGGGTCACCGTTCAAATTGAACGAGGTAGAACTACCGAGGCCAGGGGCAACTCTTCATGCTAATTCCGAGATGCGATATATTTTATGATTTATTGAAGAACATTCACTTGGCAACTCGTCACGTGTCCACTTCCATGTTCCTTGCAAGTGTATTTT